ATGTATGTATACACACATAGATATACACATATACATACATACATATATGTGCACATACATATATACATGAGCAGGCATACACATTACGTCTACAGTGTGTTGTTATTATTATACAGTGTAAATATACTGTGTATACACACATACAAATATACATGTACACAAACAGATATACACACAGAATATTTATACGTGAATAATAATAATATAATAATAATATAATATTGATAGCAATAATGATAGTAATAATAAGAAGAATACATTTTGACCCCACTTTAACTGGCATGTTTCAATACTATGGAATCTTTGAATAGTAGTAGTAGTAATAATAATAATAATAATAATAATAATAATAATAATAATAATAATAATAATGTGTATCCAAATACACACACACACACATACATGCACAGATATAATTAAGATGGAACTATGGCACTTGAAATGGAATTGTTAATGTTCAAATTGCATAATGGCAAGGCATGCTAACAGTACCATCTATGCATTATCCTAAGTGGCTCTTTCTTCTCTTGTTCAAACCTTTGGCTTCCATTGAGCCACTTCGTTTGGGAGTTGTAGTCCGCCAAGAACTGAGCTGAGTTTATTTGAAGACCTGCGGCCACTGTTGTCCTATCTGGTCTGGCAATATTTACCTTGAGCGGCCTCCAGAGATTGATTTCCTCCCTTCTTATCCAGGAACATGACATCTTGAAACTACTCCCCGCAAAGCATATTTGCCTTCCTTCCGCGCAGTGATTTCAGTCCACAGGTGCTGCTCAGGTGAGCCCTGCCTCACCTTGCTTTGTTTCATCCTTCTGTCCATTTCTTCTTGTCTTTGGCAGTTCCCCGAGTGCGGCTTCTACGGTCTCTATGACAAGATCCTGCTCTTCAAACATGACCCATCGTCTGCCAACATCCTCCAGTTGGTCCGAGCCGCCAGCGATATTCAGGAGGGAGACCTGGTGGAAGTGGTGCTCTCAGGTAAGGAACAGGTACACAGGAATATGTATTGTTGCTCTCAGGTGAGGAATAAATAGACAGGAATCTGTATTAATGCTCTCAGGTGAAGAATATATAGACAATAATTGATTGATGCTCTCAGGTAAGGTACAGGTAGATAAGAATCTGTATTGATGTGTTCAGGTGAGGAAAACATAGACATGGATCTGTACTGATGTTCTCAGGTAAGGAATAAGTAGACAGGAAAATGTATTGTTGCTCTCAGGTGAGGAATAAATAGACAGGAAATCTGTATTGATGCTCTCAGGTAAAGATCAGGTAGGAATTTGTATTGGTGCTCTTAGGTAAGTTACAGGTAGATAGGAATCTGTATTGATGCTTTCAGGTGAGGAATAAATAGACAGGAAATCTGTATTAATGCTCTCAGGTGAGGAATATATAGACAAGAATCTATTGATGCTCTCAGGTAAGATACAGGTAGATAGGAATCTGTATTGATGCTTTCAGGTGAAGAATAAATAGGCAGGAAATCTGTATTGATGCTCTCAGGTAAAGATCAGGTAAGAATTTGTATTGGTGTTGTCAGGTAAGTTACAGGTAGATAGGAACCTGTATTGATGCTTTCAGGTGAGGAATAAATAGACAGGAAATCTGTATTGATGCTTTCAGGTGAATATATAGACAAGAATCTATTGATGGTCTCAGGTAAGATACAGGTAGATATGAATCTGTATTGATGCTTTCAGGTGAGGAATATATAGACAGGACTCTATTGATGCTCTCAGGTAAGGTAAAAGTAGATAGAAGTCTGTATTGATGCTTTCAGGTGAGGAATATATAGACAGGAATCTGTACTGATGCTCTCAGGTGAGGAATGTATAGACAATAATCTATTGATGCTCTCAGGTAAGATACAGGTAGATAGGAATCAGTATGGATGCTTTCAGGTGAGGAATATATAGACAGGAATCTGTATTGATGCTCTCAGTAAGATACAGGTAGATAGGAATCTGTATGGATGCTTTCAGCTGAGGAAAACCTAGACAGTAATCAATATTGATGCTTTCAGGTGAGGAATACATTAACAAGAATCTGAATTTATGTTCTCAGGTGAGGAACAGGTAGACAGGGATGTGTACTGGTGCTCTCAGGTAAGGTATAGGTAGACAGGGATGTGTACTGGTGCTCTCAGGTGAGGAACAGGTAGACAGGCACCTGTATTGTTCTCAGGTAAGGAACATGTAGATAAGAACATGTATTGATGTTCTCAGATGAGGAACAGGTAGATAGGAATCTATATTGCTTCTCTCAGGCCAGGAATAAAGAAACAGGAAACTTACTTTATACTCTTGGTTGAGGAATAAAGGGAGAGAGATTTGTACTGATGCTCTCAGGTAAAGAACAGGTAGATACAACACCTTCATTTCTGAAAAGGTAATATCTTTTCTTCTTGTCTCCTGCCTCAGCCGCTGCCACTTTCGAGGACTTCCAGATCCGTCCGCACGCCCTTAATGTGCATTCGTACCGGGCGCCGGCCTTCTGCGACCATTGCGGGGAAATGCTCTTCGGGTTGGTGCGCCAAGGGCTCAAATGCGACGGTAAGGAGGCTCTCTTTGTGGAATGGGATATGATGCGATAGATATATATATACGGCATTCAGAAGCCGTAATGTGCTCTCCTTTATGAGCCTAGGAATGGGACATGTTTGGGGTCGTATTCAAATAACTCCATAAGAGGGTTGTTGTAGTTTTTTCGGGCTATATGGCCATGGTCTAGAGGCATTCTCTCCTGACCTTTCGCCTGCATCTATGGCAAACATCCTCAGAGCTAGTGAGGTCTGTTGGAACTCGGAAAAAGGGTTTATATATCTGTGGAATGACCAGGGTGGGGCAAAGAACTCTTGTCTGCTGGAGCTAGGTGTGAATGTTTCAACTGACCACCTTGATTAGCATATAATGGCCTGACAGTGCCTAGAGCAAACTTTTGTTGAGAGGTGATTAGAACTCCATAAGAGAACAAAAAGGAGGGTCCTTGCATAAAGTGGCCCTAAAAACTCAATTTGTTGTTTATTCATTCAGTTGCGCCCACCTTTTCGCATTTGGGACTATAACAGCAACTGTGCTGATGTTATCGTTATTTATATTTGTTGTGATATTTATGTATCTCACTTTCCCCTCTTAAAATGAGACTCCAGAGTGGCTTGCAACACACTTTGCAAGCTGAAAACTACAGCATATATAGACTGTGAAATTGAATTGAACCTACCAATGTTTAAAAAAAGTTAAATTCACCTACATTATTATTATTATTATTATTATTATTATTATTATTATTATTTTACTGACACAGAAACACAGTATGGCACAGCAAACGAGATATATATGCTGGAGTTGTTGTTGTTGTTGTTGTTGTTATTGTTATTATTATTGTTATTGTTATCACACGTCGGACACTTCCCAAGTGTCTAGGACACTTACTATTATTATTATTATTATTATTATTATTATTATTATTATTATTATGAAACACAACAAGATGAGTCCACAGCAGACACTCTGCTGGCTGTTGTATTGGATCACACGTCGGACATTCCTGTCTAGGACACTTATTATTATTATTATTATTATTATTATTATTATTATTATTATTATTATTATGAGAAACACAACAAGATGAGTCCATAGCGAACAAGATCACTCTGCTGGCTGTTGTATTGGATCACATGTCGGACACTTCTCAAGTGTCTTAGGCATATTATTATTATTATTATTATTATTATTATTATTATGAGAAACACAACAAGATGAGTCCATAGCGAACAAGATCACTCTGCTGACTGTTGTATTGGATCACACGTCGGACACTTCCCAAGTGTCTAGGACACTTATTATTATTATTATTATTATTATTATTATTATTATTATTATGAGAAACACAACAAGATGAGTCCATAGCGAACAAGATCACTCTGCTGACTGTTGTATTGGATCACACGTCGGACACTTCCCAAGTGTCTAGGACACTTATTATTATTATTATTATTATTATTATTATTATTATTATTATTATGAGAAACACAACAAGATGAGTCCATAGCGAACAAGATCACTCTGCTGACTGTTGTATTGGATCACATGTCGGACACTTCCCAAGTGTCTAGGACACTTATTATTATTATTATTATTATTATTATTATTATTATGAGAAACACAACAAGATGAGTCCACAGCAAACAAGATCACTCTGCTGGCTGTTGTATTGCATCGGACACTTCCCAAGTGTATAGGCTTATTATTATATTATTATTATTATTATTATTATTATTATTATTATTATGAGAAACACAACAAGATGAGTCCATAGCGAACAAGATCACTCTGCTGACTGTTGTATTGGATCACACGTCGGACACTTCCCAAGTGTCTAGGACACTTATTATTATTATTATTATTATTATTATTATTATTATTATTATTATGAGAAACACAACAAGATGAGTCCATAGCGAACAAGATCACTCTGCTGACTGTTGTATTGGATCACACGTCGGACACTTCCCAAGTGTCTAGGACATATTATTATTATTATTATTATTATTATTATTATTATTATGAGAAACACAACAAGATGAGTCCATGGCAAACAAGATCACTCTGCTGACTGTTGTATTGGATCACACGTCGGACACTTCCCAAGTGTCTAGGACAATTATTATTATTATTATTATTATTATTATTATTATTATTATTATTTGAAACACAACAAGATGAGTCCACAGCAGACACTCTGCTGGCTGTTGTATTGGATCACACGTCGGACACTTCCCAAGTGTCTAGGACTGTGAGATTTATCAGCGAATAATGCGTGCAGATCCCAGTAAGGTGGCCTTTTGCAGCTGGCAGATGGTAATCTTGTCAGCGCCAATTGTGTTTAAGTGCAGGCCAAGGTCTTTAGGCACTGCACCCAGTGTGCCGATCACCACTGGGACCCCCTTGACTGGCTTGTGCCAGAGTCTTTGCAGTTCGATCTTTAAATCTTCATATTGTGTCATCTTTTCCAGTTGTTTCTCTTCAATCCTGCTGTCACCTGGGATTGCTCCATCGACAACCCATACTTTGTTTTTTAACACAATAGTGAGGTCAGGAGTATTATGTTCCAAAACTCTGTCTGTCTGAATCCTGAAGTCCCAGAGTAGTTTGGCGTGTTCATTCTCTGTAACTTTTTCCGGCTTGTGATCCCACCAGTTCCTTGTCACAGGCAGATGATGTTTGTGGCACAAGTTCCAATGAATCATCTGAGCAACAGTGTTGTGCCTCTGCTTGTAGTCTGTCTGTGCGATCTTCTTGCAGCAGCTGAGGATTGTTGTTGTTGTTGTTGTTGTTATTATTATTATTATTATTATTCTATTTCAATTATTATTATTCTCCTGCTTTTCACATTATTGGTGTTATATTCATTTAATAATAATGATGATGCTCCCATTATCTTTGTGACTTCCTGGTCCAGGAGGTCATAAAGAGTCAGAAGCAACTGAATGAATAAACATAATAATAATAATAATAATAATAATAAAATAATAATAATAATAATAATTAAATTAATATAGCAGCAATAATGTGAAAAGCAGGAGAATAATAATAATAATTGAAAATATTATTATTATTATTATTATTATTATTATTATTATTATTATTTGCTTGCCATAGATGCAGGCGAAACGTCAGGAGAGAATGCCTCTAGAACATGGCCATATCCCAATACAACAACCAACAGAGTGATCTTGTTTGCTGTGTACTAATCTTGTTGTGCTTCAAATTATTATTATTATTATTATTATTATTATTATTATTATTATTATTATTATTATTATTATTATTATTATATTATTATTATTATTATTATTATTATTATTATGCTTTTCACATTATTGGTGTTATATTCATTTAATAATAATAATAATAATAATAATAATAATAATAATAATAGATACTTCTTATGCGGAGGAGTTTGTGGCTATGGTCCAAACGTAGGCTGCATCTACACTGTAGAATTAATGCAGTTTGGTGTCACTTCCATAGCACAAGGTTATGGATTACCTGGCAAAATGGCATTACCTAAAAAAATCCCACACTTTGTGTGACCGTAGAGCAGGACAGCCAACTTCGCATCTGTATGCTTGTCCACTATGCCCTGCCTCATGTATGGAGGAAGAATTGTTGGAGGCTGCAGACAATGCCGTTGCTGTTGCCCGTTTTTGGTCAAAAGATATTTAGCCGCCTGCGCTCCTTCTATTTTTATCAGTTTTATACTAATTTATGCAATGCTTTTGATATGAAATAAATAAATACTGGGAGCTGTAGTTTGGGGCGATACCAACCTTCTTGGACAGATAAGGCCTTGTGAAACTACACATCATAGAATCAAAGAGTTGAAAGAGACGTCATGGGCCATCCAGTCCAACCTCATTCTGCCAAGAAGCAGGAATATTGCATTCAAATCCCCCCTGACAGATGGCCATCCAGCCTCTGTTTAAAAGCTTCCAAAGAAGGAGCCTCCACCACACTCCGGGGCAGAGAGTTCCACTGCTGAACATCCTGGGATCCCATCATTAGTACCAAATTGCATTAATTGTACAGTGTAGATGCACCTTAATAATAATGTGTTTTAATAATGTTTTGGTCTCTTGTTTTAATGATGGTGTGACTTGAGCCTCAGGGAGAGGTGGGTGATTAAATAATAACAACAACAACAACATGTATTTTTGATCCGTCACCTTGCATAACCCCAAAACATCCACCTACAGTCTAGACATTAAACATCCCGGCTGTTTTTGACCTTGAAAGCCGGCCGATCTTTAAGCGGCCCCATTTCCCTCATTTCGCCTTCTCCCCGGGGCCCGGCATCCCATTAACCGGTTGGCATTTCGCTCCCTGCCATGTTTAATGCCTAATCGGACGCTAATAGGCTCAGCATCATTTCGGACTGGCATTTGAAAATAAATCTCCATTCTTTGGACTTTACGGGGCATCAGAAAGGCGCACCTGACTGTCAGTCCCCATTACCTGCCCTAGAAAGTGACATTTTTAAAAAAGTACTAAAAAAAGTATTTAAAAAATAATTTTAAAGGGAACTTTTAAAAGTAACTTTTTAAGAAAACGTTTTTAAAAAGTATTTTAAAAGTAATTTTAAAGGGAACTTTTAAAAGTAACTTTTTTAAAAAAGTACTTTAAAAAGTATTTATAAAGTAATTTTAAAGGGAACTTTTAAAGGGAACTTTTAAAAGTAACTTTAAAAAAAAGTACTTTAAAAGTATTTTAAAAGGAATTTTTAAAGGGAACTTTAAAAAGTAACTTTAAAAAGTACTTAGAAGTATTTTAAAAGTAATTTTAAAGGGAACTTTTAAAGGGAACTTTAAAAAGTAACTTTAAAAAAATACTTTAAAAAGTACTTAAAAAGTAATTTTAAAGGGACCTTCTAAAGGGAACTTTTAAAAGTAACTTTTAAAAAAGTACTTAAAGGGAACGTTTAAAGGGAACTTTTAAAAGTAACGTTTAAAAAAGTACTTAAAAGTATTTTAAAAGTAATTTTCAAAGGGAACCTTTAAAGGGAACTTTTAAAAGTAACTTTTAAAAAAGTACTTAAAGGGAACTTTTAAAAGTAACTTTTTAAAAAAGTACTTTAAAAAGTACTTTAAACAGTATTTAAAAAGTAATTTTAAAGGGAACTTTTAAAAGTAACTTTTTTTAAAAAGTACTTTAAAAAGTAATTTTAAAGGGAACTTTTAAAAGGAACTTTTAAAAGTAACTTTAAAAAGTACTTAAAGGGAACTTTTAAAGGGAACTTTAAAAAGTAACTTTTAAAAACTCAGAACTTGTGTTGCAAGCCACTTTGGAGTCTCATTTTAAAAAGGGGAAAGCGAGATAAATAAATATAACAACAAATATAAATGACGATAACATCAGCATGGTTGCTGTTATAGTCCCAAATGCAAGTGCGTACACACTGTGAAGTTAATGCAGTTTGGCATCACGTGGATTGCCATGGCTCAATGCTGTGGAGTCCTGAGAGTTGCCGTTCGGTGAGTCACCAGGGGAAGACGAAGGACCTTGTCGAACTACAACTCCCAAGATCCCATCGCATTGAGATGTGGTGTTAGTGCCGCAGTGTGGACGCAGCCTCATTCTCTCTTTTTTCATAGGATGCGGGCTGAACTACCACAAGCGTTGCGCCTTCAGCATCCCCAACAACTGCAGTGGGGCTCGGAAGCGGCGCCTCTCCTCCACCTCGTTGGCCAACTCCCAATCCTTGCGCCTTTCCACCACCGACTCCTTGCCCTCCACCTCCGACGATTTGGTGAGTCAATCCTCTCTGTCTAGACATGGGCAAACTTCGGCCCTCCATGTTGTGACTCAGCTGGAACCACAGAGTGCCTTTGATGAGGATGATGGGATTCAAGTTCACAACCTGGTTCAAAATGTCCCTGTTATAGTCAATGAGGAACAGGGTGTGGAAGTTCTGTTTCCCACAGCACGAAATGAGTTTGTTGATACTGAAGCTAGCCAGGTGCACGTGCAAATCGACTCAGAAAAGGAGGACAGTTCTCCGCCTGATAATGAGCAGGATAATGAGCAAACTGGATAACACTAACGAACAGACTGACCTTGACGAAACGGGAACCTTAGATCGTGCTGACCGTTTGGAATTCAGAGTTCGAAGGAGTGTGAGAATAGCTAACAAGAAGGAGGTCGGAGGCCAAAGTTTGGTGTTTTCAGCAAGGTGAACCTATTCTGAGGTGCGACACTCCAGGGATTTTGGACTACAACTCCCACAATTCCTAACAGCCTACCGGCTGTTAGGAATTGTGGGAGTTGCAGTCCAAAACCCTTGGAGGGCCGGAGTTTGTGGGTGCCCGTGGAATGATCCGACTCCGCTTTGTTCGAAGGAGTGTGATAATAGCTAACAAGAAGGAGGTCAGAGGCCAAAGTTTGGTGTTTTCAGCAAGGTGAACCTATTCTGAGGTGCGACACTCCAGGGGTTTTGGACTACAACTCCCACAATTCCTAACAGCCTACCGGCTGTTAGGAATTGTGGGAGTTGCAGTCCAAAACCCTTGGAGGGCCGGAGTTTGTGGGTGCCCGTGGAATGATCCGACTCCGCTTTGTTCGAAGGAGTGTGATAATAGCTAACAAGAAGGAGGTCAGAGGCCAAAGTTTGGTGTTTTCAGCAAGGTGAACCTATTCTGAGGTGCGACACTCCAGGGGTTTTGGACTACAACTCCCACAATTCCTAACAGCCTACACTGTTAGGAATTGTGGGAGTTGCAGTCCAAAAACCCTGGAGGGCCAGAGTTTGTGGATGCCCGTGGAATGATGCGACTCCGCTTTGTCTCCCCAGAGCCGGAGTTCGGTGGAGCTGCTCCCGCGCCGGAGGGTCTCCTCGGCCTACGTGGGGCGCCCCATTGAGCTGGACAAGCTCTTCCTCTCCAAGGTCAAGGTGCCCCACACTTTCCTCATCCACTCCTACACCCGGCCCACCGTCTGCCAGTTCTGCAAGAAGCTTCTCAAGGGACTCTTCCGGCAAGGGCTCCAGTGCAAAGGTGAGACGTGGGTTTCGAGACCTGGGGAAAGAATACAACTTTTTAGGGGTCCCCTTGGACTACGACTTCTGTCATCCCTAGCATAGAATCATAGAATAATAGAATAATGGGTCATCTAACCCAGTCCCCTGCCATGCAGGAAAAACACAATCAAAGTACCCCTGTGTCAGGAGTCGGCATGAAGACATCACAAATTCCCTCCATGACATCCTGACTGAGTCATCCTGGTTGCCTTTTCTCTCTGTGACATTTTGGAAGCCAGCAGAGGGCACTGGAAACCTTGTATTGGAACTTCGTGAAGCAACAAGCTCTAATAAGGAAACTGAGAAGAGGGCGGAGATGGGCAGGAAAGGTGTATAAAAGGAAGTGATGGTGGGGAAAAGTCAGTAGTGTCTTTCTTTGCTGCAGAGATACAAGCAATATATTCATTTCAAAGCAAAACCGGCTTGTGAGTGATCATTTAATATTGCTATATAAAACATACAGTCTTACACCCTGACAGATGGCCATCCAGCTTCGGTTTAAAAGTTTCCAAGGAAGGAGATATTTATTTGTTTTATTTATTTGTCGTGTCAGGGCAACCAGTCAATTATATTACATTTCTAACAGAACAAAGCAAACAAACAGACAAAACACAAAATTTGTGAGTTTGGAAGTTGATTCAATGTCCTTTGACCAATAGCTGGCCACGTGGAGTGCCTCTGGTGTTGCTGCAAGGAGGTCCTCCATTATGCATGTGGCTCAGGTTGCATTGCAGCAGGTGGTCAGTGGTTTGCTCTTCTCCACACTCACATGTCGTGGATTCCACTTTGTGGCCCCATTTCTTAAGGTTGGCTCTGCATCTTGTGGTGCCAGAGCGGAGTCTGTTCAGCGCCTTCCAAGTCGCCTGCCCAGGGGGAGTCTCTCATTTGGTATCAGCCATTGATTGAGTTTCTGGGTTTGAGCCTGCCACTTTTGGACTCTCGCTTGCTGGGGTGTTCCAGCGAGTGTCTCTGTAGATCTTAGAAAACTATTTCTTGATTTAAGTCGTTGACGTGCTGGCTGATACCCAAACAGGGGATGAGCTGGAGATGTCTCTGACTTGGTCCTTTCACTATTGGCTGCTACTTTCTAATTTCTCCAGTGGTGTAGGGCACAGACACCCCGTGATAATGTGGCATGTCTCATTAAGAGCCACATCCACTGTTTTAGTGGTGAGATGTGTTCCACACTGGGCATGCATACTCAGCAGCAGAGTAGCATAGCCAAGGGCAGATGTCTTCACTGTGTCTGGTTGTGATCCCCAGGTTGTGCCAGTCAGCTTTCGTATGATATTGTTTCTAGCACTCACTTTTTGCTTGATGTTCAGGCAGTGCTTCTTGTAGGTCAGAGCACAGTCCAGAGTGACTCCCAGGTATTGGGGTGCGCTGCAATGCTCCAGTGGGATCCCTTCCCAGGTCATCCTCAGAGCTCGGGATGCTTGTCTGTTCTTAAGGTGAAAGGCACATGTCTGTGTTTTAGATGGATTAGGGATCAGCTGGTTTTCCCTGTAGTAGGCAGTAAGAGCACCTAGAGCTTCGGAGAGCTTCTGTTCTACCATCTCAAAGCTCCCTGCTTGAGCAGTAATGGCACGATCATCAGCATAGATGAACTCTCTGTCCCTTCTGGCAGTGGCTGGTCATTTGTGTAGATGTTGAACATGGATGGAGCAAGCACGCTCCTCTGAGGCAGGCCGTTCTTCTGTTTCCGCCATCTGCTTCTCTGGCCCTGGAACTCAACAAAAAAGCTCCTGTTTTGTAGCAGGTTTCCTATGAGGCAGGTGATGTGGTCGTCCTTTGTGATATTATACATTTTTCTCAGGAGGAGGCGGTGGTTCACAGTCTCATAAGCCGCTGACAGGTCTATGAAGACAGCTCCTGTGATCTGCTGCCTTTCAAAGCCAACTTCTATGTGCTGAGTCAGGTTCGGCACTTGCGATGTGCAGCTTTTGCCTTTCCTGAAGCCAGCTTGCTGTGGAATCAGACATGGGTCTATTTTTTCCATGATCCTATGCAAAATAAGTCTCTCCAGAACTTTGTAGAGGTGGAGATAAATACAGGGAAGTACAGTAAGACCCTTCCCATAACACAACCTATTCCTTTGGAGTGAGATAACCCAGATCCTTGGAGTGTACACTCTAGGCATGTGCAATCCATGGTTCTAAATGGTTCCAAAGCACTTACAAAACTAAAGTTTTGGTGGTGAAAACTAGGGGGCGCTGGTGCTTTGCTTCTACTGTGCTGCTAAAGTTCTGGTGGTGAAAATTTCAGAACTCTAACAAAACTTTCAAAATTTCATTATAAATACCAGCTCCTAATACAATGGTTCTCAACCTTCCTAATGCTGCGACCCCTTAATCCAGTTCTTCATGTTGCAGTTCTTTATTTTCATTGCTACTTCATAATTGTAATTTTACTACAGTTATGAATCATAACATAAATATCTGATACATCTGATATTAAGGATATGTTTTCATTCACTGGACTAAATTTGTCACAAATGCCCCATACGCCCAAATTTGAATATTTGTGGGGTTGGGGGGGATTGATGTTGTCATTTGGGAGTTGTAGTTGCTGGAATTTATAGTTCACCTACAATCAAAGAGCATTCTGAACTCCTTCAACAATGGAATTGAACCAAACTTGAGATGGCAGAACTCCCATGAATAACAGAAAATACTATAAGGGTTTGGTGGGCATTGACCTTGAGTTTGGGAGTTGTAGTTCACCTACATCCAGAGAGCACTGTGGACTCAAACAAGGATGGATCTGGATGAAATCTAGCACAAATACTCAATATGCCCAAATGTGAACACTGGGTGCAGTTTGGGGAAAACAAATTTTGACATTAGGGAGTTGTAATTGCTGGGATTTCTAGTTCACCTGCATCCAGAAAACACTGTGGACTGAAATAATGATGGATCTGGACCAAACTCTGCATGAATACTCAATATGCCCAAATGTGAACACTGGTGGAGTTTGGGGGAAATAGACTATGACATTTAGGAGTTGTAGTTGCTGGGATTTATAGTTCACTTACAATCAGAGAGCATTCTGAACCTCACCAATGATAGAATTGGGCCAAACTTCCCACACAGAACCCCCATGACCAACAGAAAATACTGTGTTTTGTGATGGTCTTTGGCCACCCCTCGGACGCCCCCTCACGACCCCTCCAGGGGTCCCGACCCCCAGGTTGAGAAACACTGTCCTAATAGGTTCTGTCATAAAAATCACCAATAATGAAATAATAATGAAATTTTGAAAGTTTAGTTAGAGTTCTGAAATTTTCACCACCAGAACTTTAGCAACACTGTAATAGCAAAGCACCAGTGCCCCCTAGTTTTCACAACCAAAACTTTAGTTTTGTAAGTACTTTAGAACCATTTAGAACCATGTACACCCCTGTGATTCAGCCATAAAGTGAGTCCGACTTCCTGTTGCACAGCGCCACTTGGTGGCTGACATGGTGTCTTGCACCTCCTTCTTGGCCAGGTGTGTTACCTAGATTCACATCAATAAGTGGGAAGCCAAGGGATGCAGAAGGGGCAATCAATAGTGGATGGACGGGACTTTTTCAAATGTGTATGACCGGAAACCCTAACCCTGTTGCTTCCTAATCCTGTTGGTGTTTTCATCCCAGATTGCAAATTCAACTGCCACAAGCGCTGTGCCACTCGGGTGCCCAACGACTGCCTCGGAGAGACGCTCTTCAACGGAAGCGGTAAGCGATTATGAAATTATGGCCTTATTGACAGTGCAGTTAGAAATGGCATTATAGAGTCATTCCTCTTTATAGCCCAAAAGAAGGTTGCATCTGTCAAGTAGGAAATTTAGGGGAGGCTAATTTAGCTAATTTACGACGCCATAAAAATCTCCAGCAAGCATGCCAAAGAATGAGGAAGTACTCCATCAGTGTCACAAATGGACGGTGAAGCGACAGCTCCCCTGGTGGCCAGAATACCCTCATGAAGCTGGAATGTTAAATAGCCTCTATGTGTCTGTCTATATATGTTGTGTGTCTATGGCATTGAATGTTTGCCATGTATATGCACATTGTAATCCACCCTGAGTCCCCTGCAGGGTGAGAAGGGCAGAATATAAATACTAAAAATAAAATAAAATAAAATAAAATAAAATAAAATAAAATAAAATAAAATAAAATAAAATAAAATAAAATAAAATAAAATAGTAAAGTAAAGTAAAATAAAGTAAAATAAAATAAAATAAAAAATACAATACAATACAATACAATACAATACAATACAATACAGTGGTGTAGATGGGGCCTTTGGTTGGATCTGTACTGCCATATAATGCAATTTGGAACTGCATTAGACAGCAACGTAGAACCAACTTATTTTGGAATAGTGTGGGGTTATATTTACTGAGTTGTAATAATTATTATTATTATTATTATTATTATTTTCTTTCCCACTTCTCCTTGTGGCTCAAGGCGGGTTACAGCATAATGCAAACACACAAACATTGTAAATATTCTATAAATATACATATTGATAACTGCCTTGCGTGGTGACGAGAGGCGAGTAAGAAATAAAATTATTATTGCTATTATTAATCCAACTCAGCTGTTAGGAATTGTGGGAGTTGTAGTCCAAAACACCTGGAGGGCCCAGGTTTGCCCATGCCTACATGAGAGGATGACTATGACGATTATAATCTATATTATTATTATTATTATTATTATTATTATTATTAGTTGAGCATGGGCAAACTTGGGCCCTCCCGGTGTTTTGGACTTCAACTCCCACACCTCCTAACAGCTGGTAGGTGTTAGGAATTGTGGGAGTTGTAGTCCAAAACACCTGGAGGGCTCAAGTTTGCCCATGCCTGCATTAGAAGATGATTTTATTATTATTATTATTATTGTTGTTGTTTTGTTGTTGTTATTGTTGTTGTTGTCGTTGTCATCGTCGTCATCATCATTCATCATCATTATTATTTTATTTTATTTATTATTTTGCCCAGGCATGGGCAAATTTGGGCCCTCCAGGTGTTTTGTACTGCAACTCCCACAATTCCTAACAGCCTGTAGGCTGTTAGGAATTGTGGGAGTTGTAGTCCAAAACACCTGAAGGGCCAAAGTTTGCCCATGCCTGGTCTATATACCCTTCTTCACCAAATAGCCTTTCCAGACTATAATTGCAACTCCTATGATTCCATGGCAGTGAAATTGGTGCCAAACTGCATTAATCCTACAGTGTAGATGCACCAAAGGACTGTGACTGGCTGGAAGGGAAATGGAGAATTGTGACTATTATTTATTTATTCTTAGGTACATTATATGGATTTTTCCACCATTTCTCTCTCCCCAGATGTTACGATGGAGGAGCCCAGCGACCTCAGCGAGGCTGAGAAGAATTCCCTGATGGACGAATCGGACGACTCCGGGATCATCCCCGGATCCCATTCGGAGAACGACCTGCGGATGGGAGAGGACGCCGATGACATCAGCAAGTCCCGGGGGTGAGCAGAGGTCATGACAACAAAACTGACCCTCTCTTAAGACCCTGAAAACTTTCCATTGTTCAAATCTTTGTCTGACTTCCATTGTTAAAACCCAAGCATCATCATCAACAACAACAACAACAACAATAATCTATGGCATGGTATTCAAACTATATAACATGAAGATATTGATTGATTGATTGATTGATTGATTGATTGATTTATATCCCACTTTATCTCTCCATATGGAGACTAAAAGCAGCTCACAATCAAAAACACGACAACTTAAAATATACAATAATAAAAGAGTATATCATTATATTTGATTATATAATATCAGTGGTAATTATATTTAATACATTAATATTACTATATTACAATATTGTTATTACCATTTTATTATATTGCATTATTATTAGTATTATATTGTATTACATACAAGAGGGGAGCTCCAGACAAGAAACTATCAGGGACAGCTAATCACCTCTTAACAAAGAGGGAAGAACTTCCTGACTGTGAGAGCCGTTCAGCAGTGGAACTCTCTGCCCCGGAGTGTGGTGGAGGCTCCTTCTTTGGAAGCTTTTAAACAGAGGCTGGATGGCCATCTGTCAGGGGTGATTTGAATGCAATATTCCTGCTTCTTGGCAGAATGGGGTTGGACTGGATGGCCCAGGAGGTCTCTTCCAACTCTTTGATTCTATGATTCTATGAAAGGATGCCCCCAGGCAGTAAAAAGCCAGACCTTGAAAACTGCTAGACCATTCAATGCTAATCAAGGTGGCCAATTGAAACATTCACACCTGCCTCCAACAGACAAGAGTTCTTTCTCCCACCCTGGACATTATTCCACAGATCTGTAAACCCCACTTGCCTAGTTTCCAACAGACGTCACAACCTCTGAGGATGCCTGCTATTGATGTAGGCAAAATGTCAGGAGAGAATGCTTCTGGAATATGTCTAGACAGCCTGTAAAACTTACAGCAACCCAATTATCAATATTATATGTATAAACTGTACATTATATTGGGTTGTTGTAGGTTTTTTTGGGCTATATGGCCATGTTCTAAAGGCATTTTCTCCTGACGTTTCGCCTGCATCTATGGCAAGCATCCTCAGAGGTAGTGAGTGAGGATGCTTGCCATAGATGCAGGCGAAACGTCAGGAGAGAATGCTTCTAGAACATGGCTATATAGCCCGAAAAAACCTACAACAACCCAGTGATTCCGGCCATGAAAGCCTTCGACAATACAGTGTACATTATATTGTTAGCATAGCACAATATTAGTATTATATTATTACTATATTGTACTATACCACTATACTATCTATTTATCTATCTTGTCTGTCAATCATTGGAAAAGAACATATTCTGCATATACCTTTTTTCTCCCAATTTTTCTGGAAAAATGGCTTTGAAAAAAAAAACTTAATTTTTCCCCAATTTTTCTAGTTTTTCCCCCCAGGTTTTCTCATCTTTCCTGTTTTTATACTCATTCACATGATGCAGTCATACCTTCATGATGTCATCATGCACTAACTAATGCCAAGTTGCATCAGACACTTGCTTTGTCATCTTGACTCAGCAATTTTTCACCTGGACAATATGCCTATTGATCAGGCCTGGGCCAACTTTGGCCCTCCAGCTGTTTTGGACTTCAGCTCCCACAATTCCTAACAGTCTTCCAGGTCTTTGATGGACGCTTTCCGCATCCTTGTCTCCCCAGATCCATGGGCTACATCCCTTTGATGCGAGTGGTCCAGTCGGTGCGCCAGACCACCCGCAAGTCCAGCACGGCCCTGAAGGAAGGCTGGGTGGTCCATTTCAGCAACAAGGACACACTGGTGAGTGGGGAAGGGGCTGGAGAAGATCCACCTAGGCATAAGGAATCTGTGGATCAGGTTGTGGCGCAGCTGGTTGGAAGTCAGCCGCATTAAAACCAGCCCGGGTCAGAGTAAGCTCCCAACCATTTGTCTAGCTTGCTGTCGACCTTCGCAGCCCAAAAGACAGTTGTGTCTATCAAGTAAGAAATTTAGGTACCGCTTATGTGGGGAGAGGGAGGCCCCAGTGGTGCAGTGGATTAAAGTGCTGAGCTTGTTGACCAAAAGGTTGCAGGTTCGATTCTGGGGAGCGGCGTGAGCTTCCGCTGTCAGCCCTAGCTTCTGACTCAACTCTATTCTAGTCATATTTCACCTGTTTATGCTGGAGCCCCCGGTGGCGCAGTGGGTTAAACCCCTGTGCCGGCAGGACTGAAGACCGACAGGTCACAGGTTCGAATCCGGGGAGAGGCGGATGAGCTCCCTCTATCAGCTCCAGCTCCTCATGAGAGAAGCCTCCCACAAGGATGATAAAACATCAAATCATCCAGGCGTCCCTTGGGCAACGTCCTTGCAGACGGCCAATTCTCTCACAACAGGAGCGACTTGCAGTTTCTCAGGTTGCTCCTGACACGACCAAAAAAAAAAACCTGTTTATGCTTAGAATTATTTTTAAATATTAATTATTACATTTGGCCCAGCCATAGGTTTTTAAACGTCATTGTGTTACTGTTGATGTTTATTGCTTATTTTCTGTTATGAGTTTTATTTTTATTGTTTTTATTACTTGTTGTTATTGTTTTTATTACTGATGTATTGTGGGCTCGGCCTCATGTAAGCCGCACCGAATCCCTTGAGGAGATGGTAGCGGGGTATAAATAAAGTTTTTTTAAAAAATTATTATTATTCTGCCAACCTAGCAGAATAATAATAATAATGCATGCAAATGTGATGCAAATAATAATGCATGCAAATAATAATGCATGCAAATAATAAACATGCAAATGTGAGTAGATCAATAGGTACCGCTGCAGCGGGAAGGTAACGGCGCTCCATGCAGTCATGCCAGCCACATGACCTTGGAGGTGTCTATGGACAACGCCAGCTCTTTGGCTTAGAGATGAGCACCACACCTCAGAGTCAGACATGACTGGACTTAAGGTCAGGGGACGACCTTTACCTTTACCTATGCGGGGAGCCTAATTTAACTAATTCACAACGCCATAAAAAAATCTCCAGCAGCATGCAAAAGAATGAGAAAGTACTCCATTGGTGTCACAAGTGAATGGAGAAGCGACAGCTCCCCCAGTGGCCAGAATTCGAAGCATACTCTCATGAAACTGGAAAGTTAAATAGCCTCTGTGTGTCTGTCTGTATATGTTGTGTGTCTACGGCATTGAATGTTTTATCAGAGTGAGACCCTGGGGTCTATGCGCAGCGGAGATGAGGTTACTAGATCACACAGACACAAAACAGGACACTGCAGTCTGCCAGTCTTAAAAATAACAAAGTTTACTTAGCACATCTTCATACACGTCTACTTCTAAGTGAGCTTAATCAGGAACTACAACAGGAACTACAAAGCACAACTATAGTACAGTTACAGAACATCTGCTTATCAGTTTCTCTTTGGCTGTAAGCCGGCTACTCCCTAATTCTTCCCAGACGGAGAGAACTTGTTATCGTATTTCTGCCAAGGTCTCTTCTCTCTCTACCTCTCTGTCTCTTACAACAACAATTCCAGCATTCAAATTAACATAACTGAATCCATCTTGAATACATATGAACACCATTGTTAATCATATTGAAACACATTGAAAAAACATACATACATACTTTCAATAATCCTGACATGTTTGCCATGTATATGTGCATTGTGATCCACCCTGAGTCCCCTAGTATAAATATGGTAAATAAATAAATAAATACATAAATAAATAAATAAAATAAGGGGTCACCAGACAACTCCTACCATCATCTTAGGAGAGCCACACACATCCACGTATATCTACCTCCAATTTCCCCGGTTTGGAAGTGACGGGCCTGATTTAATCCTCTGCCGTCCCACTTTCGGGCTGCGAATAAAATGTCCCGGTTTCCTGTTCCCTCCCCTCTAACAGCACTCACTCTTTTCTGATCCTGCAGCGGAAACGTCATTACTGGCGCCTGGACAGCAAATGCCTCACTCTTTTCCAAAACAACACCAGCAGTCGCTACTACAAGGTAAGGTGTTCTGTTTTCTGGTGGTATTTAAGGGTGGGGGGGGGGGAATGTAATGTTGGAGGTCTCGGAGGAATCTTGTTCTTCCTATGCTTCATATATATATACACACACACCTAATAAACAAAGGATTCTATGGTGGGTTGTTGCAGGAATATATGAAATCTGTATTACACTGGCGTAGTTGGAATATTGTGATGGGGAGTTGCTTCGATGTCTTTCTTGTAGGAGATCCCGTTGTCAGAGATCTTGGCCATTGAGGCTGCCCAAGACTTCTCCTTGCTGCCCTCCGGAGCGAACCCTCACTGCTTCGAAATTATCACGGCCAAAGCCACCTACTACGTTGGGGAGAACGGCGTTCCCAGTAGCAACCAGCATGGCGGGGACAGCCTGGAGCAAGCGAAGGCTTGGGAGACGGCCATCCGCCAAGCCCTCATGCCGGTCATTCTTCAGGGCGCTGCGCCTGCCCAAGGAGAGGTGTCTCACCGTGAGTGTCTCCTTTACCTTCTCTGTTGTTTCATGAAGTCAAAGCATCTCTTCTGAGCATGTTCTTTGTCCAATACTGACCTCTAGCAGCCTAATGGGGTATTACCATGAGAGTAAAGTTCCCCTTTGAGTGTACTCCTTGTCTAACACTGACAACTAGTGACTTGATGTGGTATTACCATGAGAGTAAAGTTTCCTTTTGAGTGTGCTTCTTGTCTAACACTGACCTCTAGTGACTTGATGTGGTATTACCATTAATTTAAGGCCTCGCTTATAAGTATGCTCCTTGTCCAAGACTGACCTCTAGTGACTTGATGTGGTATTACCATGAGAGTAAAGTTCCCCTTTGAGTGTGCTTCTTGTCTAACACTGACCTCTAGTGACTTGATGAGGTATTACCATGAGAGTAAAGTTCCCTTTTGAGTGTGCTTCTTGTCTAACATTGACCTCTAGTGACTTGATGTGGTATTACCATTAATTTAAGGCCTCGCTTATAAGTATGCTCCTTGTCCAACACTGACCTCTAGTAAACTGATTTGATATTACCATGAGAGTAAAATTCCCCTTGGAGCATGCTCATAGTCCAATACTGACTTCTAGTGACTTCATGGGGTATTACCATTACGATGAAGCATCTCTTCTGAGCATACTATTTTCCAAGACTGACCTCTAGTCCTCTTGCACTGACCTCTAGTCTTCTTGTCTTACACTTGATGTGGTATTACCATGAGAGTAAAGTTCCCCTTTGAGCGTGCTTCTTGTCTAACACTGACCTCTAGTGACTTAACATGGTATTACCATGAGAGTAAACTTCTCCTTTGAGTGTGCTTCTTGTCTAACACTGACCTCTAGTGACTTGATGTGGTATTACCATTAAATTAAGACCTCGCTTATAAGTATGCTCCTTGTCCAACACTGACCTCTACTAATCAGATGAGTCATTACCTCATAGTCTTCTTCTGAGCATGCTCATTGTCCAGCACCGACTCCCAGTGCCCAGATGGAGTATTACCTTGTTACCTCTTTGTGGTTTTGTCTCTCTTTTCTTCCCTTGTGGGCTTAGGAAGTTGGTAGAAGTGGATTAGGATGTAAACTAAATCATCTTCCTTCCAGGGCAAGCATCCTTGCGGATCTCTGTGTCCAACAGCCAGATACAAGAGAACGTGGTGAGTCTCACGAGCTCTATTTTTCCTTGACATTTTTTCTTTTGCCTACTTTTGGGTCCAGTTCATTAAAACAGTTCAAAACTTTGTTGTATTGCAGGATATTGCCACTGTGTACCAGATCTTCCCGGATGAAGTCTTAGGATCCGGGCAATTTGGTGTCGTCTATGGAGGTAAGACAGGACATAGTCTTGGATCACTTTAATCCAACCATGGGCAAACTTGAGCCCTCCAGGTGTTTTGGACTACAACTCCCACAATTCCTAACAGCTTCCTAACTGAAGTCCAAAACACCTGGAGGGCCCAAGTTTGCTCGTGGTTGCCTTGATCCCATTTTCCAAGCTCTTGATGATATTTTACCAATCTCAACTTTGGAGGAACATCTGGAGATGTTTCAAGCCAACTAAGAAGATAGATTGTGGTGAAGTGTAAATTTTTAACTTGCAGTTATGTATAATTATAGATAGATGTTTAAAGGGTAAGTATTTAAAGTTGCATAACTAAGGGGGATGGAGGCCAGCTCAGCTCATGTTGAGCTGGGTTGCCATGGAAACAGGGGCGGAGCCAACTGCCACTTGGCAGGGCAGCCATTTTCAAACAGTTAGTCTGTAGTCAGCGAACTACAGGAGAGGTTGGTTCTATGTGTGTTGAGAACCAGGAAGGTGATCTGTAGTTTAAAAACCACAGGGAGTGCCTGATTCTATAGCAGTGAGAATCAGGAAGGTTTTGGCTTTTAGCCTGAATAGTTCAAATAAGTCGAGTTGACTTATTTATATTAATAGCTAGTGTATGAGAGAAAGGGTGAGAGAAACTCAGTGAGAATCTCTATTGCAACAGAAGCATCACAAAGAAAGAATAAGCTTGTAACTGAAGAAACCAATTAAGGAAAGAAACACAGTTTGAAGAATAAGTTTGAAACCTGTTTAGTGGAAGGAAGAGTCCTTTCCAGAGTTGTTTCAGAAACGTTATAAATGTAACCTATGAAGATATGTGCCTCTAAGAGTTAAGAAACATTGAAACCATCAAGCTCCTTATACATTTCAATAAACTTGTTACTGTTTTTCCTAAAGTCCTGTCTCTGTTACAATTCCTTTCCATGTGAAGTCACGGTACACATAAAGAAAGACCAATTTAATATCACTAGCTATTCACTACGCTATTAAATTAATAAACCCTTACAAAGTGGTGGCTCCTTTACAAACTCTTTACACATTAGTGGCATCATTACAAATTGGTGAAATCTTCACGAAATCTTCACATAGATCAATAGCCAAAGACCATATCCTCAATGGGGAAGATTGAGTAATTTAATATAACTGATGTTTTTTCTTTGGACCGATAGGAAAACATCGGAAATCAGGTCGAGACGTAGCAGTGAAAGTCATAGACAAGCTGCGCTTCCCAACAAAGCAAGAGAGCCAACTGCGCAACGAAGTCGCCATCTTGCAGGTGAACCTATGGCGACTCTATGGTAGCAATGTTTCCTTAGGGGGGGGGGGTTCCCATTGCTTTCTTATGAGGCTGAGAGAGTGTGACAAGCTCAAGGCCAACACTGTATCACATTATATCTCAATGATATGGGGTCCAGAGCCCAATTGTAGTCCTCCCGGATTCTATTGGTCATCTTTGCAAAAATACTGTGCCCAAATACTTGCATTTCCCACATAACTCTATAGAGGAAAATAGAGATATTTGGAGGTATTCCAGGGTCCTGGAATGCATTATTATTATTATTATTATTATTATTATTATTATTATTATTATTATTATGTGTATGTATACCCGCTTTATCTCTGCTGAAGGAGACTCATACCGGCTTAATATAAAAGCATCTGCATACAATTTTAACGATACCAATGTGCAAACATTAAAACAGGATTAAATATAAACAGTGTCTAAAAAATTCCCAAATAAAACCATTAAAACATATTCAAAGTATATTTGTAGGTCTGGGATAGGTTATTGTTTTCATATTTTCCTATAATAGAGTTGCAATGTGATTTTAGGGTCAATTTTGGAAAGAATAATTATAATTATTTTTATTATTGTGTTGTCAAAGGCTTTCATGGCCAAAATCAGCGGGAGGGCTGGAATTGGCTATTTCTGCATTGGGTTTCTGTTTTGAGTTTTTGGGGCTGTTATGGCCATATTCCAGAAGCATTCTCTCCTGACGTTTTGTCCGCATCTATGGCAGGCATCCTCAGGCAGGGAGCAGACAGGTTTTGAAGCTGCAAGGCCATTTAATTCTTGCCACACTTGCTTCCAACAGGCAAGAGTTCTTTCTCCCACCCTGGACATCATTCCACAGATATATAAACCCCTAGTTTTCAACTGACTTCCAAATTCTGCATTTTACTCCAGATTGAATCCGGATTGACAACTGAACACAGTGTGAATCCAAATCTTCTTCTTCTTCCCTCCTCCTCCTCCTTCACCTTCCAGACACCCAAATCCCCCACCAGCACTGCATAATTCGGATCGACTCCAGATTGAGGATCCTGATCTGGATTGAATCCAGATCGGGAATCCCAATTATGTATCTATCTTCTATACACATAAAAAGAGTGAAAATATGTATGTGTGTATGTCGTTGGGGCGTCCACTTACACTTACACAGACAAGCTCCTCCCTCCACAAACAGCTATAGCTCCCACTACTCAGGAGACACCAAAGACATTGCAGGTTATAGTGAGCGCCATGAACATGTCCAAGATCCCCGCCAATGTCCTCCACCAACACTGTACTGCCCACCACCCAAGTGAAGGATTTCATATGTGGCTAATTCTATCCTAGATTTTATGTGTTTCCTCCACCACAGACATCCCAGTGTTTCTGACTCTCTCCATTGGTGTGGAATTTGCATGACCCCACCCACTGTCTCTCCCTTAACCCTTTCCTATTATTTTCTATGGCACACAACAGAGGAATTGATCAGCAACTGAACATACTAGAAAGTCTTGGGGAGAATTCACCATGATTTATAGTTGTAGGTCCTGGGATCTACAACTAAGAGCACTCTGAACCCCACCAGTGATGGACCTGGAACTAACTTGTCACACAGAATGCCCAAGACAAACATATAAATCCCTTTGGAGGGATTTATAGGAGTTGTAGTTCACCTACCTCCAGGGCGCATTATGAAACCAAAAAATGATGTATCTGGACCAAATTTGGCATGCATACCCGATATGCCCCAATTTGAATACTGGTGGGATTTGAGGGGAATTGGCCTGGGCATTTTGGAGTTGTAAGAACTGCGATTTATAGTTCACATGCAATCAGTGAGCACTCTGAACTCCACCAAATGATGGAATTGGACCACACTTGGCACACAGAGCCCCCATGACTAGCAAAAAATACTGGAGGTCTTTGGGGGGAGTTGTAGTTCACCTACATCCAGAGAGCACTGTGAACCCAAACACGCATGGATCTGGACTGTTATGAATTGCTATTCTTTCTTTGCTGCAGAGTCTGAGGCATGCTGGGATCGTGAACCTGGAGTGCATGTTCGAGACGCCCGAAAAGGTCTTTGTCGTGATGGAGAAGCTTCACGGCGACATGCTGGAAATGATCTTGTCTTCAGAGAAGGGACGGCTCCCCGAAAGAATCACCAAGTTCCTGATCACGCAGGTAAACACGAAGAAGAAAAGACTTGGGTCGCTGTAGTTTTGGAGGCTGTATGACCATGTTCCAGTAGCATTCCCTCCTGACGTTTTGCCTACATCTGTGGCTAATGGCATCTTCAGAGGTTCTGTTGGCACTGAAGCAAACTGCAATACACACACACACACACACACACCCTATGGAATAATGTTCAGGGTGGGAGAAAGAAGTTGAATCCTTGTCTGTTTGAAGCAAGTGTGAATGTTGCAATTATCAAGCATTGAGTAGCCTTGCAGCTCCAAAGTCAAGCAGTGAGGGTATTTGCATAGAGGGAGCCTGGCTGTTGTTGCATGGAGGCACCCTCTGTTTGAGAGGTGTTAACTGGCACTTGATTGTTTCCTGTCTGGAATTCCCCTGTTTTCTGAGTGTTGTTCTTTATTTACTGTCTTGATTCTGGTGTTTTTTTAATACTGGTAACTCCAAACAGCAAATAATCAAGTGCCAGTTAAAACAGAGGATGCCTCCAGGCAATAGAGGCCAGGCTACCTCTATGCACCGGGACTGTGGCGCAGCTGGCTGAGTGTCAGCTGCATTAAGATCACTCTGACCAAAAGGTCATGAGTTTGAAGCCAGCCCGGGTTGGAGTGGGTTTCCGACCAATTGTGTGTAGCCTGCTGTCGACCTTTGCAACCCGAAAGACAGTTGCATCTGTCAATTAGGAAAATTAGGTACCACCTTGTGTGGGGAGGCTAAATTAACTAATTTATGAGGCCATAAAGAAGACTCCAGCAAAGCATTCCAGCGGGGAAGCATGCGGGGAATGCGGAAGTGCCTCATCAGCGTCGCAGATGGACGAGGAAAGCGACAGCTCCCCTGGCGGCCAGAAAAAGTTAAATAGCCTCTGTGTATGTCTGTATATGTTTGTATGTCAAAAAAATTGGCATTGAATGTTTGCCATATATGTGTACACTGTGATCCGCCCTGAGTCCCCTGCGGGGTGAGAAGGGCAGAATATAAAAGCTGTAAACAAATAAATAATCATAAATAAATATGCAGATACTCTCACCGATTGACCTTGCAGCTTCATGGCTACTCAATGCTATTCAAGCTTGCTTACTGCAACATTCACCCATGATTCAACACCTCCTAAACAGGATGCCTCCAGGCAACAGAAGCCAGGCTACCTTTATGCAGATATTCTCACTGATTGACCTTGCAGCTTCATGGCAACTCATTGCTATTCAAGCTTGCTAACTGCAACATTCACCCATGATTCAACACCTCCCAAACAGAGGATGCCTCCAGGCAACAGAGGCCAGGCTACCTCTATGCAGATACTCTCACCGATTGACCTTGCAGCTTTGTGGCAACTCATTGCTATTCAAGCTTGCTAACTGCAACATTCACCCTTGATTCACACAGACAAGGGTTCTTTCTCCCAACCTGGACATTATTCCACAAATATATTATTTATATCTATATCTCTATCTATCTATACATACATACATACAGACATACATACATACATACACATACACTAGCTGTCCCCTGCCACGCATTGCTGTGGCCCAGTTTGTGTATATGTCTTATGTGTGTGTGTGTGTATTTGTGTATATGTGTATATAAGTGGTTTTGTGTATATCTCTATCTATCTATCTATCTATACATACATACATACATACATACATACACATTTACTAGCTGTCCCCTGCCACACATCCTGTGGCCCAGTCTGTGTATATGTCTTATGTGTGTGTATATATATATATGTGTGTGTGTGTGTATATATTTGTGTATATGTGTATATAAGTGGTTTTGTGTTAATGTATATTTTTTTAATTTTTTTTTAAGTCTCTTCTATTGTGTTTTTTATGAGTGATAGTCATTCGTTGGCCTAATTGGTGTATTGTGTCCAACTTTGGAGTCAATTCGTCCAGTGGTTTTTGAGTTATGTTAATCCCACAAACTAACATTACATATATACATACATTACATACACACACTCCACTTGTCTAATTTCCACATAACACTGAAGATGCCATTAGCCACAGATGCAGGCGAAACATCAGGAAAGAATGCTGCTGGAACATGACCATGCAGCCCAAAAAACTCACAGCAACCCACTGATTCTGACCATGAAAGTCTTTGACAACACAAAAATGCTTTTCTTTCCTCTATCTATGCATTGTGAAAGAGGGTGCAATTCAGATAGTAACCTCTAGGTGGTGGTAGGGACTAATGTTACCATAGTCATGACTCCCAAGCTTTGGTCCTCCAGATGTTTGGGACTTCACTTCCCAGAATTCCTAGCAATTGGCCAAGCTCGGTGGTGCATCTGGGAGTTGAAGTCCAAAACATTGCAGGAACTTAATTTGGGGAGGATATCCTTTCTGCATACAAGGTATTCTGTATATGGGATAAATTACACTATGTTCCTGGGTTATCAGTGTCATTTCCTAATTGGTTCTATCATCAAAACATGGGGAAAGTTTATTAAAATGCAAAAACTTTGTTTCTGCAGGAAGGACATCCTGCAGCATATTTAGCTATAGGTTTTTAATTAATATTTCATAGAGTCTCAACCAAATCTACATATTTTTTGCTACGAAAACAAAGTTTCTGGAGTAGAACAACTATTTTCAAAGTAAGAACCGCACAATTAAATAGAAAATAAGACTTTCAAACCACGAACAGAAGATTTCTTTTGTTACGTAGTGTTATTTTATTTAGTTCTGCCCTTTTGTACAATAGACTCTCAGTTAACTGACACAGATTGGTAGACGCCAGATAAATATAGTTTGTGGATGCTTGATGAAATAATAATAATAATATTTATTTATTTACAACATTTATTTGCCACCCTTCTCACCCCGAAGGTGACTCAGAGCACCTTACAAGATATATATATACATACAATACATTATATTATTAGCATAGCAGAATATCAGTATTATATATTACTATATTGTACTACACCATTATATTGTAATATTATTAGTAATATTATGTGTAATATAAAATATATAATTACAATATCGTATTATTATTAGTGTAATATTGTATTACATTATATTATAAATATTATATGTATATACAATATAATATATTATTAACATAGCACAATATCAGTATTATATCTTACTATATTGTACTGTATCATTATACTGAAATATTATTAGTAATATTACATGTAATATTACTAATAATAGGTGACCGTGTAGCCCTATTCTTGATCTGCATCTTCTCCTGCAGTGAGGGCATTGGTTTCCAGGTGGAAGGCGGTCTCGGTCGGGGATGGCTTGATGCGCCTTCCTCTTGGCACGTTTCTGTCTTTTGTCCTCCACTCGTGCCTCTTCAAATTCTGCAGCACTGCTGGTCACAGCTGACTTCCAGCTGGAGCGCTCAAGGGCCAGGGCTCCCCAGTTCTCAGTGTCTATGCCACAGTTTTTAAGATTGTCTTTGAGCCCATCTTTCAATCTCTTTTCCTGTCCTCCAACATTTCGTTTTCTGTTCTTGAGTTCGGAATAGAGCAACTGCTTTGGGAGACGGTGGTCAGGCATCCAGATAACATGGCTGGTCCAGCAAAGTTGATGGCGGAGGACCATCGCTTCAATGCTGGTGGTCTTTGCTCCTTCCAGCACACTGACATTTGTCTGCCTGTCTTCCCAAGAGATTTGCAGGATTTTCCGGAGGCAGCGCTGATGGAATCGTTCCAGGAGTTGCATGTGACGTCTGTAGACAGTCCACGTCTTGCAGGCGTATAGCAGGGTTGGGAGGACAATAGCTTTATAAACAAGCACCTTGGTCTCCCTATGGATGTCCCGGTCCTCAAACACTCTCTGCTTCATTCAGAAAAATGCTGCACTCGCAGAGCTCAGGCGGTGTTGAATTTCAGTGTCAATGTTGACTTTGGTGGAGAGGGGGCTGCCAAGGGAGCAGAAAAGGTCAACATTTTCTAATGTTACACAATTAAATTGTATTTCTGGCATTGGAAAGGGATTGGCTGGTGAATGCTGGAAGAGCACTTGGGTTTTCTCGATACAGTAAATAATACCAATCAGGACAAACTTAACCTAATGTAACATTTCCACTACAAATTGATTTTTATTTCTATTTAAAGTATTATTTTTTTCGATTCCCTCCCCCAGTGTCGGTTAATTAAGAGTCTACTTTGTTTCCATTTTTATTACATTTACATATTATTATTATTATTGTTATTATTATTATTATTATTATTATTCTTTCTTGTTTAACTCTGACATCTTTTTGTCGGTGCTTTTGTATCAGTAGACATTCTTAAAAACAGCTTTCTCTCTCTTGTCTCCTTCCATATTTTGCTCTCCTTCTTCAGATCCTGGTGGCCTTGCGTCACCTGCATTTCAAGAACATTGTGCATTGCGACCTGAAGCCGGAAAACGTCCTTCTGGCTTCGGCTGAGCCTTTTCCCCAGGTAAGGAGGCATCAATACTTGTCCATAGGACCATTGGGAACATAGGGAATCCTGTAGCGCAGTGGTTCTCAACCTTTCTAAAGCCGTGACCCCTAAATACAGTTCCTCATGTTATGGTGGCCCCCAACCATAACATTATTTTCATTGCTACTTTAGAACTGTAATTTCACAACTGTTATGAATAATAACGTAACTATCTGATATGCAGGATGTATTTTAATTGTTACAAATTGAACCTAATTAAAGTATAGTGATTGATCACAAAAACAATACGTTTGGGGGAGTATGGACAATGGATGATGGGATTTGCAGTACCTTCAACCAATTCCGCTCTGACTTCCACAGACCACTGAGATGTCAGAGTTTGGGGGTGCGCAGCAGAAGGATTGCTAGATCAGTAGACACTGTGTTGTAAAATAAGGACTCTGCAGGCTTTCAGTTACAAGAGAATCTAAGTTTTACTAAGCACATTCAAAAGACATGTCTTACTACAGCGAGCTACAATCAGGAACTAGTCAAAACGAAAGTCTCTTCACATCTGCTTATTTCTCTTCTCTCTCCCTGAGACAGAATACTCCCTTCTGTTCCCAGCAAGAGCAAACATTATCTCACTACTCTCAAGGTTACATAATCACAGCCTCATTGGAATAAACATTCCTCACAGCATTTCTAATACACAGTAGAATCCATCTTGGAAATACATAGAAGCACATTTAAAAACACACATACATATCTAAATTAATCCTGACATGAGACCCCCCACAAATTACAGAACTGGACCAAACTTGGCACAGAGAACCCACATGACCAACAGAAAATACTGGAGGTCCCCAAACGGAGAGGAGGAGGAAGAAGAGCCCAGAGGAGAAGGGCGAGTGCAAGCCTTGCTGCTCCTGCTGCCCCACTCGCCCTTATCGAGGCTTCCACCAGCGGCAGAGACCTTGAAGGGGGCGAGAAGAGGGTGTCACAGGGCGGCAGAAGCAGCGAAGCTCGCCCTCCTTCTCTTCCGGGGTCTTCCCCCTCCTCCTCTCCGTTTGGAGGTCCCCAAACGGAGAGGAGGAGGAAGAAGAGCCCACAGAAGGCTGAAGGCAATCCTCATTGCTCCTACTGCTCCACGCTCCTCTCGCCGTTTTCCAAGGCTTCCACCAGCGGCGGGGGTCTTGAAGGGAGCGAGAAGAGGGTGGTCCCAGGGCCTGGCCACTATTTCGGGAGTCGGAGGGGGTGGGCCAGAAAGAGGGAACCTCACAACCCCTCTGAAATGGCCAGACGACCCCTCGGGGGTCGCGACCCCCAGGTTGAGAACCGTTGCTGTAGTGCAATGCCTTTAATCTTTGACTAGCATATATATCTGGCCTTGCCTAGGTTTGCATTTTCCTTGTGGCTCACTCTTTCTTTCCTTCCTACCTCCATTTGACTCATACATTTTCCCTCTTTCTTTCTTTTTTCCCATTCTTTCCTTTGTGCATCTTTCCTTCCTTCCTCTCTTTTCTTCCCTTCCTTTTCTTTCTTTCCTCCCTTCTTTCGTTCTTTCCTTCTTCCCTTTCTTTTTCTTGCCATCTTTCCCTTTCTTTCCTTCCCCCAATATAATTTCCTTTCTCTTCCTTCCTTTTTCTTTCTTCACCCTTCTTTTCTTTCTCTTCCCTTCTACATCTTCCTTTCCTTTCCTCCCCTCATAACTTTCTGTCTTTTCTTTCTCTTCCTTCCTTCCCTCCTTTTTCTTTCTTCCCCATCCCCCTCTTTCTCCTTTCTCCCTTCTTTTCTTTGCCTTCTTTTTCTCGTTCTTCCTTTCCTTCCTGTCTCCCTTGTCTTCATACACATCAATTCCTTTGTTGTTGTTTTTGTTTCCTTCTATTTTAGGTGGGAAAATTGTGTTTTTTATTTTAATTTTTTAAGTTGGATACTGAAGTTGGATCCTGATCCAACCAGCCATGAAGGAGCCTTTGTGGTACAAACATATATACATACTTTAAAAAAATATAGATACTGGCTTAAGTATCTAGCATTACCCAAGTTTGCATTTTATAATAGTATTTATTAATAAAAATAATTGCTTGTAGAGATGGCTCTATCAGCAGACTGAAACTCAAAGCAGTACTTTCTCTGTCCCTCAGGGAATGAGCACAGTTGGCTGGTTTAGGTCTTTACGGCAATTCTCTAGTGGTCTCTTGGGGTAAGAGCTGGCTCTTTCTTGTGACCCTTCAGTGATCTCTTGGAGCAAAAGCTGGCTCTTTCCCACAACCCTTTAGTAACCTATTGGAGCAAAAGCTGGCTCTCTCCTGTGGTCTGTTAGGGATTTCTTGGAGTAAAAGCTGGCTCTTTCCCATAACCCTTCAGTGACCTCTTGGAGCAAAAACTGGCTTTTCCCCACAACACTTTAGTGCCCTCTTGGAGCAAAAGCTGGCTCTTTCCTGTGACACTTCAGTGACTTCTTGGAGTAAAAGTTGGCTCTTTCCCACAACCCTTCAGTGACCTCTTGGAGCAAAAACTGGCTTTTTCCTTGAAACACTTTAGTGCCCTCTTGGAGCAAAAGCTGGCTCTTTCCTGTGACACTTCAGTGACTTCTTGGAGTAAAAGTTGGCTCTTTCCTGTGACACTTCAATGACTTCTTGGAGCAAAAGCTGGCTCTTTCCCATAACCGTTCAGTGACCTATTGGAGCAAAAACTGGCTTTTCCCCCGAAACACTTTACTGCCCTCTTGGACCAAAAGCTGGCTCTTTCCTGTAACACTTCAGTGACTTCTTGGAGTAAAAGTTGGCTCTTTCCCACAACCCTTCAGTGACCTCTGGGAGCAAAAACTGGCTTTTTCCTTGAAACACTTTAGTGCCCTCTTGGAGCAAAAGCTGGCTCTTTCCTGTGACACTTCCATAAGATTCTGGGACAGGCATGAGCAAACTCAGGCCCTCCAGGTGTTTTGGACTTTAATTACCAGCTGTTAGGAATTGCGGGAGTTGAAGTCCAAAACATCTGGAGGACCTAAGTTTGCCCAGGCCCACTCTAAAGCCCCTCTCCCACCACCCACCTTTCTGCAGGTGAAGCTGTGCGACTTTGGCTTTGCCCGCATCATTGGGGAGAAGTCCTTCCGGCGCTCGGTTGTGGGGACCCCGGCCTACCTGGCCCCCGAGGTGCTGCTCAACCAGGGCTATAACCGGTCCTTGGACATGTGGTCCGTGGGGGTCATCATGTACGTCAGCCTCAGCGGCACCTTCCCCTTCAACGAGGACGAGGACATCAACGACCAGATCCACAACGCCGCCTTCATGTACCCCCCAAACCCCTGGCGCCAGATCTCTGTTGGGGGTAAGCGAAAGGATCAAATAGACTTGTGGTGGTTTGGGTTTTTTTGTTTGCAGTCCCATCCAAGTACGAACCAGGGGTGACCCTGCTTAGCTTCCAAAATCTGGAAAGTGATTATAATTATGGGAGTATGATTTCCCTTGAGTAGCATTGTATTATGGTCCTGTTTGCTGGTGGTCACTTTTCCCTTCTTCCCTCCTGCAGCCATTGACCTGATCAACAACCTGTTGCAGGTGAAGATGAGGAAGCGCTACAGCGTGGACAAGTCGCTCAGCCACTCTTGGCTACAGGTAACTCAAAGGAGTCTCTCTCCTAAGGTTGAATGGCTAGCAATGAGAATGGTAGAATCAGGGAATGTTCAATGGAAGGGATCCCCCAAAGGTCATCTAGTCCAACCCTTCTGGCGTTTAGGAATACAGAAATAAAACACTTCAAGACCTTCAAGAATGGAGAGTCCTTTGAGGCTCTTTGTTCCGTTATGTCTTTATAAAATATATAATATCTATAGCATCTTGAGAATTACAACTCCACAAATCCTCATCTAGAATCTTATCTACTGTATATACTCGAGTATAAGCCTAGTTTTTCAGGCCTTTTTTTGGGCTGAAAAAGTCCCTCTCGGCTTATACTCGAGTCAAGGTTATTTATTATTTTACTCTATTATAAATACATAATAAATTTATTATTATTATTATTATTATTATTACATTTATTATTTTACTTTATTATTGTTGTTATTCTTACATTTATTATTTTACTTTATTATTGTTATTATTACATTTATTATTTTACTCTATTTATTATTATTGTTATTATTACATTTATTATTTCACTTTATTCTTATTGTTATTACATTTCTTATTTTACTCTATTATTGTTGTTATTATTACATTTATTATTTTGCTCTATTTATTATTGTTATTATTACATTTATTATTTTACTCTATTTATTATTATTATTGTTATTATTAAATCTATTATTTTACTTTATTATTGTTATTATTACATTTATTATTTTACTCTATTATTAGTGTTATTATTACATTTATTATTTTACTTTATTGTTGTTATTACATTTATTATTTTACTCTATTTATTATTGTTGTTATTATTACATGTATTATTTTACTCTATTATTGTTGTTATTATTACATTTATTATTTTACTTTATTATTGTTGTTATTATTACATTTATTTTTACACTATTTATTGTTATTGTTATTATTACATTTATTATTTTACACGATTTATTATTATTGTTATTATTACATTTATTATTTTACTTTATTGTTGTTGTTATTACATTTATTATTTTACTTTATTGTTGTTATTATTACATTTCTTATTTTACTCTATTATTGTTGTTATTATTACATTTATTATTTTGCTCTATTTATTATTGTTATTATTACATTTATTATTTTACTCTATTTATTATTATTATTGTTATTATTAAATCTATTATTTTACTTTATTATTGTTATTATTACATGTATTATTTTACTCTATTATTAGTGTTATTATTACATTTATTATTTTACTTTATTGTTGTTATTACATTTATTATTTTACTCTATTTATTATTGTTGTTATTATTACATGTATTATTTTACTCTATTATTGTTGTTATTATTACATTTATTATTTTACTTTATTATTGTTGTTATTATTACATTTATTTTTACACTATTTATTGTTATTGTTATTATTACATTTATTATTTTACACGATTTATTATTATTGTTATTATTACATTTATTATTTTACTTTATTGTTGTTGTTATTATTACATTTATTATTTTACTTTATTGTTGTTATTATTACATTTATTATTTTACTCTATTATTGTTGTTATTATTAGATTTATTATTTTACTCTATTTATTATTATTATTATTAAATCTATTATTTTACTTTATTATTGTTATTATTACATTTATTATTTTACTTTATTGTTATTATTACATTTATTATTTTACTCTATTATTATTGATATTATTACATTTATTATTTTACTTTATTATTGTTATTACATTTATTATTTTACTCTATTTATTATTATCATTATTATTACATTTATTATTTTACTCTATTTATTATTGTTATTATTACATTTATTATTTTACTTTATTATTATTATTGTTATTATTACATTTATTATTTTACTCTATTTCTCACCCCCTCGGGGTGAGAAAAGCGGTATACAAATACTATAAATAATAAATAAATAATGTCATTAATTGTGGGAGTTGAAGTCCGAAACACCTGGAGGGCTGAAGTTTGCCCAGGCCTGACCTATCTTCTTTCTCTTTGTCTGTCGATTCTTTCCTTTACCTGTCATTCATTATTCTTGTTCCCCATCAAGATGCCTCGATCCCTTTGGCGTGTACCCTATATTTGTGCATTTCATTCTTATTGCCTAAGCAGTACGTTTCTGACTCTTGTTTTTCTCTCGCTTGGCAATAGGATTACCAGACGTGGCTGGACCTCCGGGAGCTGGAGAGCCGGATGGCGGAGCGCTACATCACCCACGAAAGCGATGACGCCCGGTGGGAACAGTTCGCCGCCGAACACGGCCTCCCGTACCCGGAACGTTTGCGAGTGCGGCGCTTGGAGGAAGAGGACGAGGAGGAGGAAGAAGAGCAGCAAGAGATGGAGGTCAAGGGCTTGGCCGACCGAGTCAGTGTCCTCTGAACGACTTTGGCCATTGGACTTCTCATTGACAACAGCGACACCTGCTGGCAACCTGTGGAATAGGGGAAAAATCTGAATTGTTTAACCTTCGACATTACAACACAGCGCCAACTGCTGGCAACCTGTGGAATAGGGGAAAAATCTGAACCTTCGACATTGCAACACAGTGACACCTGCTGGCAACCTGTGGAATAGGGGGAAAATCTGAATTTTTAAACCTTCGACATTGCAACACAGCGACACCTGCTGGCAACCTGTGGAATAGGTGAAAATTCTGAATTGTTTAACCATCGACATTACAACACAGTGCCACCTGCTGGCAACCTGTGGAATAGGGGAAAATTCTGAATTGTTTAACCATCGACATTACAACACAGTGCCACCTGCTGGCAACCTGTGGAATAGGGGAAAAATCCGAATTGTTTAACCATCAACATTACAACACAGTGCCACCTGCTGGCAACCTGTGGAATAGGGGAAAAATCTGAATTGTTTAACCATCGACATTACAACACAGTGCCACCTGCTGGCAACCTGTGGAATAGGGGAAAAATCTGAATTTTTTAAACCTTCGACATTGCAACACATCGCCACCTGCTGGCAACCTATGGAATAGGTGAAAAAATTCTGAATTTTTCTAACGTTCAACATTACAACACAGCACCACCTGCTGGCAAGCTGTGGAATAGGGGGAAACGCTGAATTGTTTAACCTTTGACATTGCAACACAGCGCCACCTGCTGGCAACCTGTGGAATAGGGGGAAAAAACTTAATTTTTTAACCTTCGACATTACAACACAGTGCCACCTGCTGGCAACCTATGGAATAGGCGAAAAATCTGAATTTTTTAACTTTTGACATTAAATCTGAATTTTTAACCTTTGACATTGCAACACAGCACCACCTGCTGGCAACCTGTGGAATTGGGGAAAACTCCGAATTTTTTAACCTTTGACATTAAATCTTAAACACAGCACCACCTGCTGGCAACCTGTGGAATAGGGGAAAATCTGAATTTTTTAACCTTTGACATTAAATTTTTTAACCTTCGACATTGCAACACAGCGACACCTGCTGGCAACCTGTGGAATAGGGGAAAACTCCGAATTTTTTAACCTTTGACATTAAATCTGAATTGTTTAACCTTTGACATTGCAACACAGCGACACCTGCTGGCAACCTGTGGAATAGGGGAAAACTCTGAATTTTTTAGCCTTTGACATTTTTTACTTTTGTAATTTTTTTTGTAAACACTCCATTGCTTTATCCTGGTGGAAGTGAAGGACCGAGGAATAATTCCTGAATGCTCCCACCGTGAAAGGGATGATATGGACGATCGGAAGCAAATTTGGAATACGACAATAAAAGAATGGGATTCAAGGACTTTTTTTACTTTCTGTGGATGCCATTGAGATTACAAAAACAGTCCCATTTTTGGATTGCAAATCCCATGACCTGCAGATTCAGTTACTTAGGTTGTTTAGATTGCAAATCCCATGTTTTTGGATTGCATAACCTATGTCTTCGGATTGCAAATCCCATGTTTTTGGGTTGCAAATCCCATGACCTGCAGATTTAGTAACTTAGGTTAATTGGATTGCAAATTTCATGTTTTGGGAATGCAAATCCCATGATTTCATCTTACAAGTCCCATGTTTTTGGATTGCAAATCCCATGACCTCCAGATTTAGTAACTTAGGTTAATTGGATTGCAAATCCCATGTTTTGGGATTGCAAATCCCATGATTTCACCTTACAAGTCCCATGTCTTTGGGTTGCAAATCCCATGACCTGCAGATTTAGTAACTTAGGTTAATTGGATTGCAAATCCCATGTTTTTGGATTGCAAATCCCATGATTTCACCTTACAAGTCCCATGTCTTTGGGTTGCAAATCCCATGACCTGCAGATTTAGTAACTTAGGTTAATTGGATTGCAAATCCCATGTTTTGGGATTGCAAATCCCATGATTTCATTTTACAAGTCCCATGTTTTTGGATTGCAAATCCCTTATTTTTTGGATTGCAAATACCACGTTTTTGGATTGCAAATCCCTTATTTTTTGGATTGCAAATACCATGACCCACAGATTTAGCTACTTAGGTTGATTGGATTGCAAATCCCATGATGCATGGACAAGTAAAAATGCCAAAAAATTGAAGTTTCCGTAAGTTCGGAATGCAAGGCGATGGATGAAGTTTGGATGCAAGGATCTTGGAAGGTTTAGGAGTCAGTTTTTGGACCCCATTTTAAAAAATGCCGAAATGCTCACAAAGAGTCCTATTAAAAATGCCAAAAAAATATAAGTGCCAGTAAGTTCCATTTCTGGTCTATAATCAATGAAAAAGAGAGACGTTTTGGCCTATTCTAAAGGCGAACCGAAGACCGGTTTGTGGGATTCTGAGCCAGGAACGATGGATGTCCCAGACTTTGAATACTTTGGCTTCCCTTTTTCTTAACGGAGGTGATCACTATGGATTCTTTCAGCCTTGGCTTCCTGCCCTCTGACCCCCCAAATGGCGCATCGGCTCCATCTCCGTGGAAGAAGGGAAGCCGGGCGGAAGGCGCTCCAACAAGACTGGCTCCTTGTGCGGCAAACAAAGCCGGCTTTTCTTCCAGCTCTGAGGAGGTTTCGAAGGCGAGGCCTTGGGCGAAAAGCGCCTTGGCACCAAAAAGCATTGCAACGGCCAGCGATGGAGCAAGGAAAGCAAATTGGAGGAGGGACGGGGGGGACTGCTTTTCTTTCTTTCCTTCTTTCCCTGTGTGTGTTTTTTAAAATAATAATAATATTGGAAGCCCCCCGGTGTCTGACTCCTTTGAAGAGGTCGCCGTCTCAGTAAGACTTCAGAAGATGCGAGAATAGGGTCGAGGGCGGGAATAGAGCAGCCCATTTAATGCAAGTCCCATGTTTTGGGATTGCAAATCCCATGATCTGCCAATTTAGTCACTTATTTTGATTGGATTGCAAATCCCATGACTTGTGGATTTAATAATTTAGGTTGCTTGGATTGCAAATCCCATGTTTTTAGATTGCAAATCCCATGACTTGTGGATTTAATAATTTAGGTTGCTTGGATTGCAAATCCCATGACTTTTGGATTGCAAATCCCATGACTTGTGGATTTAATAATTTAGGTTGCTTGGATTGCAAATCCCATGGTTTAAGATTGCAAATCCCATGACTTGTGGATTTAATAATTTAGGCTGCTTGGATTGCAAATCCCATGACTTTTGGATTGCAAATCCCATGACTTGTGGATTTAATAATTTAGGTTGCTTGGATTGCAAATCCCATGTTTTTAGATTGCAAATCCCATGACTTGTGGATTTAATAATTTAGGTTGATTGGATTGCAAATCCCATGTTTTTAGATTGCAAATTCCATGACTTGTGGACATAATAATTTAGGTTGCTTGGATTGCAAATCCCATTATCTGCAGATTTGGTTACTTAGTCTGATTAGATTGCAAATACCATGTTTTTGGATTCTAAATCTCATGATTTACAGGCTTAGTTACTTAGATTCATCGAATTGCAAATCCCATGGTGTGTGCAATCGCAATTTAGGTTATTGGATTGCAGATCTCATATTTTTGGATTGCAAATCTCATGACCGGGGGTTTAGTTACTTTGGTTGATTGGATTGCAAATCCCATGTTTTTTATTGCAAATCCAGTGATTTGAGGATTTAGTAATTTAGGTTGTTTGGATTGCAAATCCCATGTTTTTGGATTGCAAATCCCATTATCTGCAGGTTTAGCTACTTCGGTTGATTGGATTGCAAATACTACGATATGTGGACTTGCAATTTAGGTTAATTGGATTGCAAATGCCATGATTTTGGATTGCAAATCCCATGATTTTGGATTGCAAATCCCATGACCTGCGGATTTAGTTACTTAGGTTGATTGGGTTGCAAATCCCATCTTTTTGGATTGCAAATCCCATGTCTCTGGATTGAAAATCCCATGTTTCTGGATTGAAAATCCCATGTTTCTGGATTGCAAATCCTCTGTTTTTGGATTGCAAATCCCATGACCTGCAGATTTAGTTACTTAGGTTGTTTAGATTGCAAATCCCATGTTTTTGGATTGCAAAACCCATGTCTTTGGTTTGCAAATCCCATGTCTTCGGATTGCAAATCCCATGACCTGCAGATTTAGCTACTTAGGTTAATTGGATTGCATATCCCATGTTTTGGGGTTGCAAATCCCATTATTTCATTTTACAAGTCCCATGTTTTTGGATTGCAAACCCCATGTTTTTGGATTGCAAATCCCATAATTTCATTTTACAAATCCCATAGTTTTGGATTGCAAATACCTTATTTTTTAGATTGCAAATACAACGTTTTTGGATAGCAAATCCCATGACCTGCAGATTTAGCTACTTAGGTTGATTGGATTGCAAATCCCATGATGTGTGGACATGTTGCCTTAGGTTGATGTGACTCCAAATACCATGATCTGTGGAATTCCGGTCTTTGGTTAAATGGACTGCAAAGCCCATTATGAGCTTCCCATCTTCAATAGATAGTTTTATGCCAGGCGTGGGCCAAATTGGGCCCTCCAGGAGTTTTGGACTTCAACTCCCACAATTCCTAACAGCCGGTAGGCTGTTAGGAATTGTGGGAGTTGAAGTCCAAAACACCTGGAGGGCCCAAGTTGGCCCATGCCTGCTTTATGGGTTTGACCTCTCGTGAAAGCTTCCACCGGCCTTTGCACGCCCTCGTGCAACACAAGTGTGCCATTCACAATAGGTGGTCTTTCTTTCCTCCCCCCCCCCCCACTTTAATTTCCATCCATCAAGGCCAGTGCTGCTATTCCTCACCATCGTCCTCCTCCACTGCCTGCCCCCCCCCCTTTCCATTGTCATGGCTACCATCTTCTCCGTCACCATGGCTACCCCTCCTCGCACTATTATTATCACCACCATTTATAAAACCCCATTGTTGCCGCCTTTGCACTGTCAGGCCCATAGCCCCCTCCCTTTTTTGAACCTTCACCGAGCCCCCCAAAAGCGACATATCATTACCTATCTATCTGATTTTCTATCCATCTTTCATCATTTTGCCTGATTATTCCATTTATCATTGTGCTGCCTGTCCAGTTTAGTCTACTTCTTTATTGATCTGTCTGTCCAGTCGTTACCTTGTCTATTTAATTCGTTAATCCGTCATCTATCTATACCTTCCTTTGTTATGTCTCATCTATCTATCTATCTATCTATCTATCTATCTATCTATCTATCTATCTATTCATCCATCTATCTATCTATCTATCTATCTATCTATCTATCTATCTATCTATCTATCTATCTATCTACCTATTCATCTATCTATCTATCTACCTACCTACCTACCTACCTACCTACCTACCTACCTACCTATTCATCTATCTATCTATCT